GTGTGTGTGTGTGTGTGTGTGTGTGTGTTAAGTATTGTGACTTCAATATTTTAGGACAAATCTCCCTCATTCCAAACAAAAAGAAAACAAATTTACGACAGCGCACACCATAGTGAGACACTAAAGCATCGCCCGGACAGAAGAACAGATACACCTCAGTGCAAAAACAGAAAAAGCACATACATTATTATTATTATTATTAATCAGCATTTCCTTTTTTAACAATCTCTCCACATTTAGCATGTTTACAGTCGTGGCTACAGCTCGTTTCCCTATTAAACAATCAAAAGGCACAATAATGGCTAATCTGTTTCCACGCCTGAAGCACTTTACTGTACTCTACGAACACCTGGGTCAAACTTACCTCGCAGACGTCTCAGGCGTACAGTTAGAGACACTGATAACGCAAACGGCGTGAATTATTTATACGCTACGTTTCCAACTGCAGTTAAGATCGAGGCTGATCGTTCAAGTAAACGCAGCAACTTCAGCAGAAAGTACAATAGCTAGTCTTTCAAGGAAGTGCGTTTACCTAACATCCTGATCTGCAGAGCTGTGTCAGAGCTGACCTGCAGAGTCTACGTCAGTCAGGTAACAAGCTTGAAAACTAAGAATACTTTTTCCCTGTCTGGATTCTTTCCAGGATCCAAGCTGGTCTGACGGACACTGTCTAGAAAACACACCTGACTAGCAAATGCAAGACGTCATGAAGTTTATGAGCAGCTGATGTGACGTTCATTTTACTGTCCGTTATTTAATATTTTATTATATTGTATTATTCTATATTTTTAAATATCTTAGATTTTGCTCATTTTAACTTCAGAACACAAAATAGCATTATCTGTTCAAATTACATTCTAATGCTTGTAGCATTTAACATTCCACTAAACCTGTCAAAATCAAGTATAAAAATGAACGGGGTAAATAGAAATACAATTCTAATACACCAGCACAACCTAATTAGTGTGCATTTAAAAAAAAAAAAAGCTGATCATTAATTTACATATTGTGCTAGTAATATTATACAAATAAAATATTGTTAATACTGAGTCCTGTGGAGTGACTCACGATATCTATTTCTAATTGCGCAATCTTTAGAGAATTCTCAAATATTTTGTTAATTAGGACACCAACAGCAAGTAAATAAGGCATTTTTATGGTTGTAAATTAGGAAGAGGGAGAGATTTAACTCTTACAATTAATCAAATGTGCAATATTTATGTGGAAATGTTATTATAATTATTGTGCCTGCAATGACCATGTGAAATATCTGTATATAGAATTTGTCACACTGGAAGAACATTAATATTTACCAGTGAAATAAAAAAAATATATATATGTGTAAACGTACTCTGTCTGCTTCTAAATACACTGTTCAAAAGTTTGGTGTCAGTAAGATTTTTAGTCTCTTATGCTCACCAAGGCTGCAAATGTTTGATCAAAAATACAGTAAAAATAGTAATATTGTAAAATATTATTACAATTTAAAATAACTGTTTTCTATGTGAATATATGTTAAGATGTAATTTATTCCTGTGATTGAAAGCTGAATTTTCAGCATCATTACTCCAGTCTTCAGTGTCACATGATCCTTCAGAAATCATTCTAATATACTGATTTACTGCTGAAGAAACATTTCTGATTATTATCAATGTTGAAAACATCTGTGCTGCTTGTGATTCTGGATTCTTTGTTGAATAGAAAGCATTAATTTGAAACAGAAATCTATTGTAGCATTAGAATTATTATTTTTTTTTACTGTGTGGCAGGTATCCCGGTTCCAAATCAGCGTCGCCCTGGAAACGCCGCTCCCACCCCAATCACAAACTACCGCCACCTGTGAGGGATGATTGGCGCAGCTGGAGCTCGTTCCCACAGGCCTTAAAGCCAGGAGAGAAGGCACACAAGGGGGAAGGTGGAAGAGGAGCTCCAGGCGGAGACTAATGTCTGTTTTGTTTCTTCTCCTCCTGTGTAGAGACCAGCGACCCTCCGGACGAGTGATCAGCAGCCCTGCACGAGCACCGAGTGACGCCCCTCCCCGAGCACCGTGTGACCCCCCTGCCCAGACGCTTCACCTGCGCACGAAGAGCACCACGTATAAATAAAGCACCCTCCTGGGGGACTTCCCACAGTTCTGTGTCGGTGGTCTCATTCACCCCGCTACAACTGTCACATTTGATCAATTTAATGCATCCTTTCTCAAAAACGTATACATTTCTTTAAAAAAAAAACAATCTTACTGACCCCAAACTTTTAAACGGCAGTGTAAATTATAACTTAGATTCTTAATGTTAAAATAGTAGTCCGTGTCCATTTGTCAACTCTGCACACGCTCTTTTAAGGTCTTACGTCATCGTATCTCCTAGAACCACTTGGCCTTTTGATATGAGCCATGATACGTTCTGTGTAAATGAACAGTGAACACTGCCAAAAACTCCCTGAAGACATGTGAAATAATCGCTAAACCTCAAAGCTAGCGCGGCATTTCATCAGTGAAGCCCTGAGACGAGCGGCCAAAGAAAAGAAGAAGAAGTCCAGAGATCAGGCACATGTGCAGACAGACGCTGGGACTCACTGAGAGCTGTCCGGACAGATACGGAGGGTTGTCCCGGAGCATGCCAGGACTCATGGGGGACGTGACAGAGATGGACGGACCCATCTTTTGGGATTCAAAGGAACTTGAACCTGAAAAATCGGCAAAGAACACTTAAATTGATCCTCCTGCTGGCAAATGCAGTGCTAAAGTATTAATACGTTTTATAGATCAAAACTAGCTAAACTTACTTGATTCAAGTTGTCCATGTGTGCTCTCTGGTATTCTAGGGACATCTCTACAAGAAAACAGGGAAGAGCATTTTAATGATAGCAGGTGTATGTTTGTAAATAACAACTCCGAGCTATATCAGAAGGTTATATAAGCTGGGTGATATACTGTAGCTAAAATGTAAGGCTTTGATGAATTTAAATATAAATCCTGATATTTATTTATATTCTCTGAAATTGTTTTAAACAATAATTTCAAACAAACAGCCACTGTTGTCGAAAATATTAACATTTTTAAATCAAGAAGTAAAATAGAGTAAATGTAATTAAAAATAATTAAGACATCCACACTGTTTTTCTATAAATTAACAAGTGAAAGAATTACATTTAATCATTTTTATTTATATACGCCATAGTTATAAATGGCAATATTTACATACACTACTGCAGGTCAGAAGTCTGGAATAATTAAGATATTTCTGAAAGAAGTCTCTTATGCTCACCATTTTCAACATCGATAATAATACACAGCTAAAAGTGCTACCGCCAGACCCGGAGATCGGCTGAATGGATTCGAAAACGGTAAAACTCAACTGTTTAACTCTAGGGGAGTTGGAAAATGAGCCTATTTTCAAAAATAGTGGAGTGTTCCTATAAGCATCAAATCAGCATATTCCTATGATTTCTGAAGGATCATGTGACACTGAAGACTGAAGTAATGATGCTGAAAATTCAGCTTTGATCACAGGAATAAATTAAATTTAAAAAAAAAAGAAAACAGTTATTTTAAATTGTAATAATATTCCAAATATTAGTTTTTACTGTATTTTTATAAAAAAAAGTGCAGCCTGGGTAAGAGACTTATTTCAAACACATAAAAATATCATAATTATTCCAAACTTTTGACTGGCAGTGTACATAGTGTATATTTTTACTAAAACATTTTAAAGCATGAGAAATGCCACATGGGAACATTTTGAGTGATGATACTTGAATTTTTAAACGATTCGCTGAATTAAAAATGAACTTCCAAAATCTGTTTGCACTTTTGCTACTGAGGATAAAATCAAAGATAACATTAAAATATTTTAAACTTTAAAGACAGCGCAGCACTGGCCTGGTACGGTTTTCAGGAAACATAATTGCCAAATAAAAAATTTGGCGGAAGTGAGGAACTGCAAGCTTTGAATGCTTATATCTTCTAAATGCGAATTTTGTCACTGTTTTGGAGCACACTGCCTTATAGATAACCTTAAGACTAACAAATTGATACTAACACCCAAAAAACTTTAATTTTGATTTCATGTGGACTTTAAAATATTCACGATGCTAGGTCATTTTACTGTATATTGCTGTCAAAATGACAGCACATGCATGACTGATATATTGCCCGGCTTTTCCAGGTTAACCATCTTACTGTAGGACTCTAAATGGTTTAAGGGGAAAAATGCCTAGCATTGAAAGTAACAAAAAATAAAGCACAGACCTGAAGCAGGCCTTTCATTTCAAGCAGTGAATATGTTTCTATGCGTGAGTGTGTATGTGAATATAAGCATTCATATGTTGGGCTCCCACAGGCTATCCTTCTTCATAAAGCTCTATTGTAGAGTATTGTAATGATCACTCACCCGATGGGCCGCGAGACCACCAGCTCCACCTGCGGCTCTGGCTTGGATTCTAGAATGATATTGTAAACTTCCTTGAATGTGGCTCCCTGTAAGACCCTCCCGTTCCACTCCAGGACCTGATCACCTGAGGACCGACACAACACCGCATCAATACAACACGAAACATGAGCTAACCAACGGAAGTTAAAGGGAGAGTTCGCCCAAAAATTTAAATTCTGTCATCATTAACTCACTCTCATGTTGTTCCAAACTAGTGCTGTCAAATGATTAATCATGATTAATCGCATACAGTATGAGGGTGACAGAATTTCCTTTTTTGTGTGAACTTACCCTTTAAGTTAAAAAAACATAGAAAGGACCCTGTTTACATTAAGCGTCCTCAACTACTATGTACTTACATTTAAATTAATCTTTTGATACAATGCACTTACTGTGTAATAAAATAAAATAATAATAAAAATATGTTCTGATGTTCATTCGTGTTCATTTCATGCTCTAAGTAAATATGAAAAGACGATTGGTTCACGTGCTGCTTGAACTGAGGCAAAGCAGTGATCTGTCACGACACATTAAAGAGCCACAAAACGGTATTTATTGTTAGAATTTCTTAAAAAATGACCAAATCTGAAAGCTGAGACCTTGTTTCATACCAGAAGTAACCTGCTCTGTTTTGTCTGTCGGTGTGTTGTCAGTTTCTTATTTGCTTCGCGATGTATTTTTTACTGCGTGAGAACGGAGGGTGGGTTTTTGCGAACTGTCAATTACATTTGTAATTAATTTCTGTAGTTACATCTATAATTACACTGCTGACCCAACCTCTACCCATTACACCTAACCAGACCACCAAACCTGCCCCTAACTTTACCCGTATCCCCATCAATAGCAGCAGAGGTGCTTTGTAATTCAACATGAACACAATAGGTACATTGTACCTAGGGCTGTGCAAAAAATCGAATGCGATTTTCATGCGAATCTTGTCAGTAAAGCCGCTTCTGGTGATTAGTAGTAAATCTCCAGCACGTGCTTTCAGATGGAGCGGCATTTACTACACAGAGCCGTAGTTCACTGACAAGCTACACAAAATCGCAGGCGATTCATTGCCGATTTTGAACGC